ATATTATTAATAAATTATTGTTTTATTTAAAAAATACTAAATACAATTAAATTTTCCAAGCAAATTTGTCTGGAATACAGTTTAAGGGATAATATTAAACAGATATTATATAGGTATTATTAATTAGCAATTATCTTATACTTGATTTTATTGGGTGTGGCAACTTAGTAAAGTGGTTAAGTTGTTGCACCCCCAAGTGATATATGGCTAGGTAGAGGGTTCGAAACCTACTGGTGATGAATTTTGAAAATTCTACTTGTACAATGGCTACTGTTATCTATTAATTGGTTGAAATAAGATCCCTGTAACCTTGATAGCACCAACAGGATTGAGAAATCATAGGGTATTTGTGTGATATATGAGTAATATGAATAAGCTTCTGGATCATAGTAATCCAGAAAACCAAGAAAGATGATAGAACTTGCTTGGCAAGATATGAGTAAAAAATAGCACAGATCTTTGATAGTACTATATAAAGAATTATTATCAAGAAAACTGGCAAAACTAAATAGAACCAAAGTGTTTGGCAAGACATTTCACCAACCAGGCTATCAAAAGAGTAACTAGAGGAAAAAAACCCAACTATGGAGCCAGGAGCAGATTATAGCCCTTCCAAACCATCTAGATTAGTAGTTTAAGATTGTTGAAATTAAAATCAGTAATAGTCTATAAAGTGTGTACTAGAGTTTGGGTAAACTCTACAAGGGCAGAAGTAGATAATTTGGCTTGCAAGTACTTGTTCTCAAACTTGGCATAAGTTACCAAAGTCTAGATTAGCCAGATTGTGGGTATAGAAAGCTCTAGCAAGTTTATCTCGAAGGTAAATTAGCCCTAGGTTGGGTACTTCCTATAGCAAATATTGGTTCTTTATAAGGATTTAGCAGCACAGAGAGTTTAAAGAAGTAATTCTTAGTTGAATTATAGGTATAGCATCTAGTGTAGAACCTTTAAGCGAACTACTTAAATAGACAATCAAAAGTTGTATATATAGCTAGTTGTACTCTCTAAAACCATATATCAAATGAGTAGCAGCTGACTTTGATCAGCTTAGCATATAAACTAATAAAAACAACCGACTATGAGGTCACTTTGATATTAAAAAAAAAATATTTGATTTTATTTTAGGCTATACAAATTTGTATTATTGGTTCTCATAACCGGGCGGGTCATCAGACCTAAGATAAAAAATTTTTATTTTCAGGCACAGTAAGGAATCAACCAATCAGAATTGACCAAATTTTATTACAAAAAAATTATACTAAAATATATATCACATGATTTAATTGGGTAATACAATACTTAAATGCATTAACTATTATATATATATGACTAACATTTTCAACTTATAATATTTCATTACAAGACTTTTTACTACTATTGCTTTTATCTGTTGGCTTCTATTCATATCGCCTTTTTGAATTTGTAGTACAGTTGTTACATATCGAATATATATTTTTCTACTCTTTCAATATTAGTAGTACCGCAATTACAGCAAATATTAGAATAAATTTTTGTTGAGTAATACAGTTTTTCGATAGAAGAAGCACATGTTCAGGAATCATTCACAAAATATGAGCAAAAAGCTCCTGAATAGGATCACTAATCACATCTTCACTATTGTCAAGATTTCTAGATTTAACCTTACAATCGGTATCCTGATTATTCTCTTCATCAGATTCAGCAATATCATATTCAAGATCAGAACTCTTTTCATCATCGTCATTTTCAGATTTAATTAGAGACTCTACTATTTTAGGTAATATAGCATTATCATTATCGTCAAGACATTTATTTGTAGATTTTGGTAATGGTATAGCCAAAGCTAATTCATTGATATTTTTAAATGATATTCCACAAGTATATAAAATTGTATCTAGAAATTGATAAAATATTTGATGATTCTTATTCGATATTTTTCTCACACTAAACAGAAGTCATGGTTTACCACATTCTGTACCAATAATAGTAATTCCCATATTTTTAGCATGTAATGCAGAAGGGCAGAATGGCATTGTGTGCTTTGATCAGTTTTTTTGTTTCATTTTTTTAGATTGTAATTGAAATATTATTTCTTGATATGAAGGTCTATATTTTTCAGTTGTTAGGGTACCATATAACTCCTCAAAAGACTTATAGTAGAAATCATTTTCTGGAATTGGATCAGAGAGGCAATAGAGTTGATTAAATACCTCAAGAGAACACTGGGGCGGTTTGCACATTGAACAATTATCCTTTCTGTATTTTTTTATCGTAAAAGAATAATGACGAGTTGTACAACAATGATTGTAAAAGTCTTTCAAGCATTGCTTTAAAAAAAATATATATACAGTCAAACCTCCATAAATGCAACGTGTACAGACCAGCCTAAAATGTGTATTTAGGAAGGTTTGCATTTAGAGAGAGCCAATCAAATTGCAGCTTTTAATATTTGATCTGCAGACTTGTATAACAAACTTAAATACTGACTTCTGATTGGCTACGTGCACTTAGAGAGGTTAGTATGATATAAAAAATCTTTTGAGTGAACATGCATTTGCAAAATATAGAATATATATTTAGCATTAATAATTTCATACAGCCAAGACAAAAACGTGCATTTAGAGAGGTATTGTATTTATGGAGGTTGTATTTAGAGAGGTCTGACTGTATTTTTTATTTTTTTATTGTCTTATTTTTTTTTTTGATTTCAAATTATAATATTCACTTACTCTTTGTTTTATATATTCCTTAGTACTATCATTATGGGTTACAGTCTTATCAATCTGATGTATTGCTTTCCAAAAAGTTCTATGTCCTCATCTAATGCGGTATTGAATGTTTCGAATAGAATATCTTTTAAACACTGCCTTTCAAATATTTCATGAACAAGATGAATAGGATTTTGAACACTTTTAATTAGCTTATTTTTGAATGTAAGGTTTGATTCGGTGATTTTCTAATTTCTTTCATTGTATTCGCCTTATTAAGAAGGTTTTCTTAATTATCTTCCATTTTGCTATGCATTAACCCTATATTTTGCAATCCTAGATTTAGTATTGACATAACACGTTCAACAGGGTTTTTCCATAAGTGATATGGTGGCGTTCTTATTGCAACAAAATAATCAAGATCAAGCTCTAAAAACAAACAAATGTATGACAATTGAACTCTAATAAATATACATCTGTGATCGAGATCTCTGTCTGTGTATAAACATAATACAAGTTTGATTGTTTTTTGCATTCAAAGAATATTATAAAGTTTTGTCATGTGTCATAAAGAGGAGGATGGCTAGAATATCAAATCCTTTAAACAGATATTTACTTTTCCTGTATAGAAATTACTATCAATTGTTTTCAGAATGTCGTATAATATTGTTATGCTTGGTATCATTCTAGTTTTAGTAAAATCATGGTCACTTACCACAAATTTTGTATTCTTTCCAACTATTACCTGCTTACCCCTTTCTACTACTACTACTAGATACCCTGGCTCACCAATTTTACATCGATGTTTGTCATCAAGACAAACAAGCATTAACACATTACGAAACTTAATGGCAAACTCTTTTCATATCTAAATAGTGCAGATGCATAATATACATCTGGGTGATCAGCATGTAATTGCCTTGCTTGCACTATAAATTTTAATAGCAGATAACCTGTATACTGCAAACTATTTTTGTATGTTGGATTTTTAGACCAAAATTGTAATCTGAACTACTGCTCACTAGAAATTGATGTATTAGATGGACATATCAATTCAATTTGCTAAAGTAAATCTTTTACTAAAATAGCTGTGGCAAGATATACGATTAGATCATGACAGCGTTCGTTAACTGTAGTGCCTAAATCTGAAGCTTTTCCTATAAGATAATTTGCTGCTATGTTCCAAAATATTTTATATTTTTCTGACTTTTCTTCATTATGCTTATATAGATCAATTATTATACTAAAATCACCAAGTGTTAGGGCCAATCTTACACAAGCATCTACTTTTACTTGATTTGCGCTTTTAGCAGCTGATATATTATCAGATAATATATGATAAATTGTTCTCAAGGGTGCTGCTTTTACTTTTGGCAGCAAAAAGTTACATGTACAAAAGTAATTTTTGCGCATAGCATGAGTATGATAATGAGGTGAGTCATTTTGTAATTCTCTTATGATTCTTATATTTTCTTGTACTATTTTTGTCTCACTAGCATTTTCATCAATTCTTCAAATTAAAATGCTATTATACATATTATTACCTAAAATATATTGGTACTCACCAATTTTAAACATAAATGCTTCTTCAAGATTCTTTATAAAATGAAATCGCTATCTAAAATAAAACAAATAATAAGTAATATATATATAGAGGTTTTTTTGTTTTGAAATAATCTTAAGGAACATAGTTACTATGTTTTATAAGGCTTACCTGACAATCATTTTTCTAACAATATTTTCAAAAATATTGTTAAAAAAATGGTTGTCAGGCAAATATTATCTAACCATTCTATAAAAAATTCTATACATTAAGTGTATATTTAAATTACACATATTGGTTCTAATGGCAAATATTTTTTAATGTTAAGTGGTTTCCAAAAAGGAAGTTCTTGTAAAACATTTACAAGTTCATAATATTTTTTTTATTTTGTAGTTTTATCCAAACATTAGACTGATGAACTTTTATAGTTGTAGCCTGTTCAACGTCTCGAACAAGAACCTTATTTCCATGATTAGTTGCCATTATTTTTTGTTGTTTTTGTAAATAATCTATATAACGAGAAATAACTAAAATAAGTTCTTCAAATTCTTTAGATAACTAGGTAAAGCTCGATGATTTTATCCACAGAGATGTGGCGAATGGTACAAGGGCATGACAATAAAGATTAAGCTCATTCACATCAAATAGTTTTCTAGCCTCTCTATATAATTTTGAATCTGCGTGGTTCAAAAATTTATAAAATAGACGAGAAATATGGCAACTTCGTTCTTCTAACTTTTTATAATCATGTATGTCTATATACCATAACACTTCGAACAAAGTGACAACAAATTGTTTCTCTTGGTTATCTGCAGAGAGTTGTGTTGACCAACCACTTTTATGATATTAGATCCAATTCGTTATATCTAATTTCAATAATTGTTTACAGTTGGGTGCAGAATATGAGAAACTAGGAATATACAGTTTATTACTACATGCTGCAGATTGCATAAGAATATTGAAACTATTTAGGGCATTAGCAGGTAATTTTTCATCATTTTTAAGATGATAATGAATGTTCATTCCGAATGTATCAGTAATCTCAATGATTTTGCAGTCAGAGCTTACCTGTATAGCTTCTGAATTTATAGATTGACTTATTTTAATATAATTAATTTTTTTAAAATTCAAGCTGGTTTGTATATTCAGAACTGATATTTCTTTACTAATGTGCTGAAAAAATTCTTTAATCATCATTTCACATGAAATTGGACAAATATACCATCTATACAAAACTTTGGACTCTTGTGAAATATGTATATTTGCAAAAGGCTTTTTTTTTTCTTAATAAAAATCTTTTATTATTAATAGAAAAAGCTCTAAACTAATATAAAGGCAATTCAAATTATAGTATTCGATTCAAAAAGGCAACAAAATTATAATTTATGATGAATTTCTCAATGAAAGGTGAGACAAAAAAAAGAACACTTTTATTAGGCTATTTGTTAACCGATTGCAAGATAACTCAATTAAAAATAGCTTCTTTTATACTTTAGAACAATTGAAAAAATATATCGTCAACCATTATAATTTAAAACACAACCACTTTCATTATTTTTGGGCTTTGAGGCTATGTAGTAAAATATTTTCTGTTCTATTTAATTATATTTTGATTGCTAACTTTTTCTCATTATGAATTTGAAGCTGCTTCTAAATTTACTTCTAATTTTATACAATCTACTTAGCCTATCTCCCTTCAGAGAGCTTTTTTTAAATTTTTTTTATCAACTATTGTTGCAGCAGGATCTAGAGACAGTATGCATACATGCGTATTAGTTACAGCCGTAACTATTTAATATTTTTCTTTTTTTAGCTTTAAATATTTTCATATCTTTTTGGCTTTTTATCACATAGCACTGCCTTATACCAGCCTTGCCCTTGTTTAATTCTATACCAGCTTACATGATAAATAAGCAGCTCAAGCTACAAACAATTAGCCAAACATGACAAACAAACATTAAATAATTGCTTTTTTTAGGTTAATCCTCCTTGAGTTGGATTACCACTCTCTAGATTGAGGGTTATTACCTCTGGGTTGGGTTACCACTCTCTGGGTTGAGGTTATCACCCCCTGGGTTGAGTTACTACTATCTGAGTCAGGTTATTCACACTCTGAGTTGGGTTACTCACACTCTTGGTTGGATTAATACTTTCTGGAATAGGTTGATACTCTATATCAATGATCAATTTTCAAGGTCACGGTAATTTTTTTTGGTCACAAGCTTAAACCATTCGATTGTCGTCAAATTAAATTAATAACTATATAAGTACGCACGAATTTATTTCTGCATACTGTAATTCGAACTTATGAAAATTATGATGCTATACAATTGAATCACTTATAGCCATTTCAGAAATAGAGCTTACTGATTTCTTATTCGAATAATATTCGAATAACGAATATAACGAATATAAATACGAAGCTTTATTCTGAAATACAACGTATTATTAAGTGATTTCTGTATATATATGCATGAACATAATAGTCAAACTTTTCTAAATGCAGCTTGTAGGGACCAGGCTTTTGACAGCTTGCATTTAGAGAAAAAATTGCATTTATGAATGTCTAGTATATATTTGGATATAGCTAAAAGTTGTATTTAAAGAAGTATTTATTTAAGAGGTTGCATTTAAAGAAGCCCAACTGTATCATGAATATTATAAAAACACAAACTTAAGCTGAAGATGTTAATTACTTTATGGAAAAATCTAAATTTCTTGGAAGGTATGAAGATTCTATTTTGTAATACTTTGATAATATTATATTTTTGCTATCAAACGGATTTGTTAAATATAGTGGTCATACCCTAAGATATAATAACCAGTTAATCACTAGGCCACCCAGATAACCACATTATAAAATTTATTAACAGATAATAATATTAAAGATATCCGATTAACTTATCCAGTTAAATTAAAAGATAGTATAATATATATATAAGCAATATCAAGGAAAATAGAACTTTAATTATATAAAACTTATATAATTAAAGTTCTATTTTTTCTTGACATCATTCATATGATATTTATATCAGATATATTAATCATAAAACGAGATGAGAACAATTTTCAAATAGAAAAAAATGCAACATGCTAAATAAATTATGAAGATTTCTTTATTGACAATTATTCTGCCGATATCTCATAGTTGCATCATAAAGTTTTACTTAACGTGATGCCAATTAAATGAGCTTAAGAGGATACCACTAATTACAATTGAAATTCTTATAAGGCCTGAGCAAATTTTCCGAATTATTTATGTATAAACGTTATTCATAATGTAAATACAAAGGGCAGAAATACTTTGCAGAAGTTTATATAAATTAAAAATCTCATTAATCGTTATAAAAATTACATGATCACACATTTTTTATAGGTAATTTATAATTTTATTCTGTTTAATAAGTAAAAAAGAACTGTGCAATTGTTTTGCTATACTATTTAACTATGTGTATGCACACTACAAACTATGGGCAAATTCTAATTCTATATATCGCACAAAAGTTTGCATAGTAAAATTCATTGGGTTGTAATAAATTTTTGCTTATAGCTGTTTTCATAATGTCTGAAACACCTGATAAAAAATCTGTCAAATGATTTTTCGACTATTCTGGTAAGTTATTATTTTGGTATAATAAATTCAATAAATTATATATTATACTAATTGTTTTTTTAATACTTACCCAACATGTTTAGTGCTGTAGTTTAGTCTGTAAGAAAACATATATTTCAAATTACAATGTAATCTATATGTATATAAATCATTATGTATCGATTATGCCAAAATCACTTACTTAACTGGATTGGCCAAAAAATTATTCGGTGATTTTTATTAGATGTTTCAGAATTTATGAAAATAGCTATAAAAATTTTTATCTTATAAAATATTTTAGCA